AAGAAATATAATTTCATTAATATATAAAACCATAAATGTTATAGGATCAATCTAAATACTAATACACAAAAGGTATTACATTCATAAAATATGTAAAAATATAAAATCAAATAATTTAACATTTATATGAATATTGCAGTCAGATCCAAACTTAAGATTGAGGAATTAAATTGCGATTTAGCATAATTCATCCAATCAAAAGATAAATTGATTAGGATAGAAACATTTAGCTAGGGACCATGTTTCTAACTATACCTTCAAGTATCGAAATAAGTATGACAATTGATCTAAATCCAACTAATATTATGTTCAAGTTGTTATCCTCATTTAACAAGAAAAGCTAATCACCATAAAAAATAACGAGAAAATTTAGGCAAAAACCTTCAAAAAAAGAGAGAGAAATCACCACAAGAGAGGAAAAAGCATTCACAACGGAGGAGAACTCCAACCTTTAGCCATTCATCCTAGCCACCAGGGGGAGAGAAGCAGCCACAGTTAGGAGAAAGGAAAAAACAAGAGAAAGAGTAGAAAATCTGGGTACTAAGGCAATTTGAATTTGAAATTTTCAAGATCTCAATGTGTTCCTCAAACACTGAAAATGTACCAGGGCAAAGTCAAGAATTAATTTCAAAATTGGGGAATAGCTTCAAAAATCATGTATGTTGAATGCCAATCTTGGACTTAGGCGATACAAGAGTTTCCAGGATATCCAGATGAAGAAATGCAGAGAATGGACTCTCTGCAAAATGGGATGAGGATGCAAAGCAAGCAATTGCACCTCTAGAAGTATAGCAGTTTCAGTTGGCATGAAGTCAAACATGAATTACAAGGCCGATATCTTAAGTATCTACTATAACAATAAAGAAGTTGTTACTAAAAACTACACTAAACACACACTCTAAATTTCTATACAAAGTTTAACATAAAAAAAAAAAAAAAAGTTTATATACAAAGTTAAGAATTTTTTTTTAAAACCATTTTTTATACATTAAATGGTAAGCTACATAATAAATGATAATAATTCCTTTTCAAAACCCTTGTTTACGCATCCTAAACTTGAACTGAAGACCTGGGGCGTCCTATTTGGGAGTTGGGACCTAACTAAAGCAAAATAAGGGAGTAAAGATACCCAATTCCTTATTTCTGCCCAGCAAGTCAGCTTCCTTACTGAAAAAGGGGGTCAATCAGCAAAATTGGGAGGCACTTTTTTATCATGTTGCTTGAGTAAAATTGTCAAATCTTGGTATACCTTAAAGCAAGTCTATTCTCCAATCTGATGGCTAGAACTTAAATCCCTTGCTTCATAAACCTTTTACCAAGTAAGGACTAATTTGAAACGAATTAACTTAAAAATTTCTTGCAACCTTCATTCAAAATGCTTCTAGTTCTTCTGAAGAGCTAAAAATTGCAAAATTACCGTATACCATGTCCAAATGTTCGGGCATAAAAACTTCTATAGCACAATTCAAGCTCAACTTGCCATTCTAAATCTTAAGCCCAATTAAATCTCATAAAGTAAATCAAATATTTAAAAAAGAAAAAAAAAATCATAACATCTTGCCATTAAAAATGTTAAAATGTCTAAGAATAACCATATAATAAATTTGATAACAGTTAAAACTCACTTAATA